AATAATTGTGAATATGAAGTTTAAAAATTATGAATATATAGCTTTATAATTATGAACATATAGTTTAGTAATTATGAATATAGAGTTTTGTAATTGTGAATATAGAGTTCAATAATTATGAATATGAAGTTCAAAGATTCTGAATATTTAGCTTTATAATTATGAACATATAGTTCAGTAATTATGAACATAGAACTGTGTCCACCTTGCAAAGTGGACACGATTCCACAGCATAACTATTTGATTCACCGTGTTACATGTAGTATCTGTTCATATAGACTTACTCAACCTATTGAAGCCCAACGTTTCAAAAGGCTCTTATTTAAGAAACCTTATTTTAATGGCTTCTTATTTTAGTTTTTTTTTTTTTTTTTTTTTTTTTTTTTTTTTTTTTTTTAATTTATTAGGGGGTTTGGCTAAGATTAACCCAAAATGTATATGTGTTGTTTTTAGCAGAACTCCTCTTACAAACATAATTACTTGCACATCAATGTGGGCAAGTATTGAGAAGTCAAAAGGTTCTTATTCAAGAAGCTTTAGCGTTGTCTTCTTATTTTAGTTTTTATTTGTTTATTTATTTATTATTAGTGGGGGTTTGGATAGATTAACCCAAAATGTATGTGTTGTTTTAGTTTTTAGCAGTTTGGAGCAAATTGCTAAGTAAAAAAAAAAAAAAAAGGCAAAGGGGAGCCACATGCTCCCTTTGTAAATGATGTGGGTTCATTTTCATCCCAAATTGAAAATGTTTGAAAAGATCAGCTCCTGAGCTCTTCTATATAAGATGTACAAACATAATTGTTTGCCCATCGATGTGGCGAGTATTAAGAAGTCAAAAGGTTCTTATTTAAGAAATCTTAGCTTTGTCTTCTTATTTTAGTTTTATTTATTTATTATTTGGTATTTATTATTGGGGGTTAGTAAATATTAACTCAAAATATATGTGTTGTTTTAGATTTTAGCAGTTTGGAGCAAATTACTTAGTTATTAAATAATATTTTTGGTGTTTTGAGTAAAGATAAATTGTTAAAATGACGAATTTGTCAATAATAATAATAATAATAATAATAATAATAATAATAATAATAATAATAATAATAATAATAATAATAATAATAATAATTCAAACAAAACGATATACAAAATAAAATTAAAATTTAAAAAAAAATAAGGAGAAGATAAAAGGGAGTCACGGGCTCCCTTTGTAAATGATGTGGGATCATTTTGATCTCACATTGAAAATGTTTTGGAAAGAGGAGCAATGCTCCTTTTACAAACATAATTGCTTGCCCATCAATGTAGGCAAGTAACCTGAAGGGTGTGGTTGAGTGTAAGGGACTCATCCATCCTTAACCAAAGGTCAAGAGTTCGATCATTGGATTTGGAAATGGAGCAGCCTTAAATCTCTAAGCCAGCTGTCCCACCCAAAAGAGGTGCTTACAGTTTAGCGAGGGAATTAGTCACTGTGTCCAACGGTGGAAACCCTGGGTTTACCAAAAAAAAAAAAAATCAACGTGGGCAAGTATTGAGAAGTCCAAAGTCTTTTTTTTTTTTTTTTTTTTTTTTTTTTTTTTTTTTTTTGGTTTGAAGTAAAGGAAAATTAAAAATGAAAAGGAAATATTTTAATAATAATATTTTACATCATCAAATAGTAAAGACATATTTTAAAAAATAGTAAAGAAAAAATGGAACGAAAATATTTCATTAATAATATTTTACATCATCAAATTAAAATGGAACGAAAATTAGGTAAAAATATCACTGCATCTATATTCTAATTGACTGATTGATTGGAAATAAAATAGAATAATTAACTGAAAATGAATCTAATATTACTAATTGACTGAAAATATAAAAGGAAATGAATATTAATAATTGACTGCAAATAAAAAATGATCTATAATTGACTAAAAAATGATAAGATCATTGCATTTTAATTAAAAATAGAACGAAAATTAAAAATTGGAGGAAAATATTCCAATAATAATATTCTACATTATCAATAGTAAATGCATATTTTAAACAATAGTAAAGGTAAATTAAAAATTGAACGAAAATATTTCAATAATAATATCTAAATCATCAATTAAAAATGGAATGGAAGTTAGGTAAAAATATCACTGCATTTGATATTCTAATTGATTGAAAATAAAAAAGAATAATTGGTTGAAAATGAATCTGATATTACGAATTGACTGAAAATATAAAATGATAACTAATTGAGTTATATTCTACCATTATATATTTTCACCCAAGTAACCCGTCCTGATGGAGAAGATGTTAGCTCTAGACGAAGATGAACAAGATTGTGTTGTCACTACCAATGTCGTCTACAAAGAGGTTTCAATAATGTGTAAATATAATCGGTGATTTTTTTTTAAATGAAAAAATTGCTATATATCTAGGCAAAAAAATATATCTTCCATACAAATGAATATGGATAGCAATTCATTTCTATAACTGAGTTGTTAGAGAACGAGCACATTTACCTAATGTATGAAAATACTAAACAATGATAAATAAAATCTTCAAAATTATAGGACCGCATCCGTACATCTAGACATTAGCTATTAATTTGAGCAATTATTTGCACAAATTCAAGCAATGATAACATCAAAATATATAAACGATTCAAATCATATCTTTAAGTGCACTATATAATATTTGATGTTCTAATTTAAATAATTATATATCGATTCATATATTCTTAATATATTACAACATATTCATTCCGTGCATCGCACGGGTGCAAATACTAGTTATATTATAGAATATAATACCATACATAATATTACCAATTATGTAATATAACAATTAATAAATTTTATTTAATTTCCATTTGACATTTACTTACCAAATAAACTTTACTACAAAAGTTTTGGGGGGAAAATTTGTTAGGAGGATTTTACTTATATATATATAATATATAGATATAGATATAGATTCATTTCCTTTTTATTTATTTTTTGTAATCCAATTTCCGTTTTATTTATTTTTCTTATTTCATTTCCTTTTTATTTATTTCTCTTAATTCATTAAGATAAACTCCACCTTCTTCCTAAATGTTGTAATTCCGCAGTTGGTTATTCAAAGTGTTATAAGCTTTATTATGAGGAGGGTTTAGTTCAAGCCTTACTTGTGCTAATTATAGTTTTAATATTATTCTCTTAAATTAAACAATCATGTTTGGCACAATTAAATACTTATTCTTGTACTTTTTTAAATTTTATTCAGGAAATTTAATTTTTTAAAGAGGATTTATTATTATTTTTATTATTAAACAAACCTCAAGCGCAATATTATTTTTGTCAGACCGCGAGGTGTCCTGAGCCAGCCCTAATTGCAGGAGACACCTTTAAGGGGCAAAGTTGGTTTTTCCATACGAGAGGAGTTTCAAACTCTCGACCTCTCTTAAGGGATAAAAGTGCACGGCCACTTATGCCAACCAAGCTAGTTAACAATTATGTTGTGGAACCGTGTCCACCTTGCAAGGTGGACACGATTCCAAAACTGTCATAATCGTGAATATAGAGTTCAAAAATTATGAACATAGAGTTCTATAATTATGAACATAAAATTCTGTAATTGTGAATATAGAGTTCAATAATTGTGAATACGAAGTTCAACAATTATGAACATAGAGTTTTATAATTATGAACATAGAGTTCGGTAATTATGAACATAGAGTTCTGTAATTGCGAATATAGAGTTCTGTAATTGTGAATATAGAGTTCAATAATTGTGAATATAAAGTTCAAAAATTATGAACATAGAGTTTTATAATTATGAACATGGAGTTCAGTAATTATGAACACAGAACCGTGTCCACCTTGCAAGGTGGGTGGACACGGTTCCACGGCATAACAATTGTGTAAAAATCATGCAATCGAGCCATTAAAGATTTTGAAGTTACAAAAATTACACAATTTTTAATATTAATAAGTTATCACAAGTAACACATCCGGTCATTTGGTGGTGTGTCGTTTGGTGGTAAGGCTTCTTAATTTTGTAATAGATTTCTTTAAGTTGGATAAGTTAAATAAAAAGAATTGATAAGTGAACACTAAAGGGGTTGTTGCGCAGGACTTGTACCGTTGATTCATTCATTGATCTTGTATATATGCGCACAGCGCATTCATTAAATATATTAGAACCCTTTGCAACAAAAATACTTGGTTACTATTTAAAAAAAGTTTAGTAACAATTATAATGAATCTCCTATATTACAATATATTCATATACTATGAGTTACATTTTTAAATAAACAAATTCGACATTAAATTACTTATGTATTAACTTCTCATATATAATCTTGCATTGATATACTTTCAATTATTTATTTAATTATAAACATTGGGCATTAACTTATTCACGCAATGCGCGTGTAAAACTAGTCTACTATCTACTATATATCTACTATACTAATAAGAGCCCAAGAGAGCTAGGCCTATAATCGGTAGAAAAAATGACGGTTAAATTTTTTAATCAAATGAATGGCTCAGATTGATCAGATTTTAATTTTTCCTTAAGATTTCCTAATTTATCATTAATGAATATGATTATCCGTTAAATATTATTTTTTCCGTTAATTTCTGTTAGTTCACCGTTAACTTGCTCATTGATTTCAATAAGAAAGGTCTTAGGTTCGAACCTCCTCCCAATCAAAGTTGGCACAATTAGTACTTTTTTTTTTTTTTTTTTTTTTTGAAAATAATGGTGTTGTATTATTAAATGAGCATAGAAATAGAATCAGGAGGGACAGAGTCCCAGTACAAAGATTGATCCTGATCAAAAGCTAACGAAGCTAAAGTATGCGCAGGTAAATTTAATGTTCTAGAGATGTAATTTAAAGAACAATAAGTAAATGATGATATAGATGTCCTGCACTGGTCAGTAATCATTCCAACATAGGATAAAGTAGTCGTTGAGCTTGAATGTATGATGTTCCGTAGTTCCATGCAATCAGTAAGAAGGTCCACCTCCAGTGTATTGTGCTCTTTAAGCTATGAGAGAGCCTCCTTGCAAGCTAACGCCTCTGCCATGAGTGGTGAAAAGGCACCAGGCAACTTGCCAAATTTTGCCGCAACAAAAGAACCATCGTGGCCTAGAAGAACCATCCCGTATGTTGCATCCCCCGTAGTTTGCTTGTAGCCAGCATCTACGAAGCATTTCAATCTGGTGTGTGTCTCGGCTGTTGGCAATGCCGAGGGCGCCGGGTGCTGCTGTCGATGGTGGACCTGCCGATAGGCGTTCTCGGCCGTGTTCGCGCGTCTCCAAGTCTGTCCAGGTTGTGGCAGCGCCTTGTCCCAAACGGCGGAGTTGCGGGCTCGCCATATGTGGTAGAGCACACCCACCGCCACCCCTACTTGCTCCTCTGTGAAGGCGTTGAACATATTCATAAGCCATAATGGAAAAGAATGTACCATAATATTTGCAACAGGTAATTGTGAAACATTCCAAACCCTCATAGAATAATCACAAAATATTAGAGCATGCATAACATTCTCATGTGCTAGGTCACACATTGGGCATGCAGGGCTCACTTCTACCCTCTTTATAATCAAATTAATTATCAGTGGTGGGAAGGATATCACATATAGCTCTCCACAGGAATGTTTTTCATTTAGATGGAATCTTCAATTTCCACACTGTAACCCATTTATCAAAAAACACTCGGGGTATTAGTAAAATCCCCAACTATACGCCTATAGGCATTCTTAACAGTGTACTCCCCACTCGGATTCCCCATCCAATACCATGAGTCCTCATAATCCGGGCTAATAGGGTTCATAGAAATTCGATTCACATCATCAGGAACGAAAAGATCAGACAGAATATGTGGATCCCAGGTCTTTGTTTGTGGGTCAATTAGGCCAGCTACCAGTGCTTCCCTTAATTCCTCAGGCATAATTGTTTGAACTAAGGGGCTGGGGTTGTCTGGTAACCAGGGGTGTCCCCATATGAGAGTTGTCTGCCCATTTCCAATTCTTCGTCGTATTCTCGCACACACCAAATCATGTGCCGCCATAATACTCCTCCAACAGAAACTCGAGCAATTTCCTATGGTAGCATCAACAAAACTAGTTGTAGAGAAATACCGAGCCTTATAAATTCTCGCCGCAAGAGTAGACGGATTAGTAAGGAAACGCCACGCCTGTTTCTCTAGCATTGCCAAATTAAATGCACGCAGCTCTTTAAAGCCTAATCCACCATATTTTTTTTGGGACACATAATTTATCCCAAGCCTTCCAGTGTATTCCTGTATCTGCGCCACTTCCCCACCAGAATTTATTCATGGTCCGCTCAATAGACAAACAAACTGTCTCAGGCAGCAAAAAAACACTCATTGAAAAAGTAGGCATAGACTGAGCCACACTTTTCAACAATACCTCCTTACCAGCCTGGGAAAGCAACTTTTTATTCCATGAACCAATTCTCTGTTTGATCTTGTCCTCCACATATGCAAAGACAACTCTTTTCCTTCTACCCACAAAGGATGGTAAACCCAGATATTTTCCAAAATTGGCTGCTTGCACAACCTCTAAACAGTCTGCCACTTGATCTCTGTCATTTCCTTGGGTATTCCGGCTAAAACAAATACTTGATTTATTATAATTCACCACCTGACCAGACAATTTTTCATATCTTATGAGACACTGCTTAACAATACTAGCCTCCTGAATATTTGCCTTGAAAAATAATAGACTGTCATCTGCAAAAAAACATATGTGACACAGGAGGTGCTCCCTTAGCCACTCTACAGCCATGTATTGATCCTGTCATCTGTGCTCTCTGCAATAGCATTGAAAGGCCCTCTGCACAAATAATAAAAAGATAGGGAGAAAAGGGTTCCCCTTGTCTGAGTCCACGGGTGGGCGTTACACGCCCCCAGCTTCACCATTGACCATCACAGTATAATTAACAGTAGTCACACACAGCATAATAAGACGAATCCAGTTATCATTAAACCCCATGACCGACAGCATTTTTTTCAGAAATGGCCACTCCATCCTATCATAGGCTTTTGACATATCTAATTTGAGTGCACTCCACCCCCCTAAACCACACTGTTTCCTGTTCAGATAGTGCCCCACCTCAGCTGCAACTAAAATGTTATCTGTGATTAGCCTCCCTGGGATAAAAGCACTATAAGATTCTGAGATAAGGTCTCCCATAAGCGGTTTCATCCTATCAGCTATCATCTTGGCCATAATTATATAGATAACATTACTCAAAGCAATCGGCCTCACATCCGCAACCGTTTCAGGTGTGTCTTTTTTTGGGATCAACACAATATTAGTATCATTCAAACCATATGAGAAAACACAAGTATTTAAACACTTTACTATAAACTCGGACACATCCTCCCCCACTATACTCCAAAAATGCTGGTAAAAACCTGGATTCATTCCATCTGGGCCCGGAGCCTTATCAGGAAACATAGAGAAAATTGCTGCTTTAACCTCATCAGCTACAAAAGGACGCTCCAACATAACATTTTGATCATGAGACACTCGGAGTACAAAATTATCAAATAGAGGATTAGAACAATTGGCGTTATTAGAAGCAAAAATACTCCTAAAGTAATCCAAAATGACTGAATGCATGTGATTACCTTCCACCCACAACCCAACATTATTTTTAATACGAGCAATGAAATTCTTTTTCTTACGCGCAGAGGCATACCTGTGATAGAATTTTGTATTGGCATCTGCGCCCCGGAGCCAGTGCTGCTTCGCTCGTTGCCTCCAAAAGATATCCTCCTGGGCCTCCAATTGATTCAGCTGATTATTTATCTGTTGGAATTCTGCTAGAGCAGCCGGATCCCTTCGGTTTCTAATAATCTCATGTCTCTGTCGTAGCTGTTTAATGCGGTCCCCAAATTTATGAAAATGATCCCCACCCCACCGCATCAACTTGCCTCCACAATATTGTTGACAATTCAGCAATCCCTCAGACCTTCCCTCGTGCCACGCAGACATTACCACATCCCTACACCCCTTATCCAGGAGCTAGGCCATCTCAAACCTGAAACCCCTCGGTCCCCTTCCTCTCCACATGCAGATTGCATTAATGTTAAGGTAGAGAGCCGAGTGATTCGAAGTTCGAGTCTATATATTTTCTACCCATGCGTTCTCATTCAAGCCATCCCAGCCTGCCGTTGTCAAGACTTTATCTAGCCTTTCCTCTATCCAATTCTGTGTCCCCTTACTTTTTTCCCATGTGAATTGGTGGCCTCTAATGGGCATCTGCATCAACCCACAATCATCAATAGTCTCCCCAAAGCCGCGTAAGAGACTACTAGGATGTGGGTTTCCTCCCCTCTTCTCATGCTGAAACAGAAGATCGTTAAAGTATCCTACCACTACCCATGGCAGTGAGGACCTACCATGTAGCGTTTCCAGTAATTCCCAGGAATCCCTCCGCCTATGTCATTGCGGAAAGCCATAAAAACACGTCATGCGCCATATTTTATCGGAAATAGTTACTTCCACATCAATGTGGTTTTTAGAATAACTCAACAACCTTACCGTGTTATTCTTCTTCCAGAAGAGAGCTAGACCACCACTCAAACCAGTGTTATCTACATAAAACAGACCATCATAACCAAGCGTGACGCAGATTCGCTCTGCATGTTCCCGCGCCACCATGGTTTCCATCAAGAATACAAACTCGAGCTTTTTATGGGACGCCAGGTCCACAACCTCTCGAACTGTGCGTGGATTGCCAAAGCCACGACAGTTCCAACTAAACGTACTCATGATGACGGGCGGGGCTGGGTACCAGCTCCCGCCATGGGCAATTTTTTTGAACCGTCTGTCATAGTAATATCACCGTCATTCTGCACCGATATAAGGCCATTATCCACAGCTTGCGGGCGGCGTTTCGCCGTTGCCACGACCAGATCCTCCTTCTGGCGCACTGTTCCGTCGATCCCCATCAACTCCGGACGTCCCCACTGCTGCAACTGTCGTCTTAATTTTTTCGTCCACCGCATGCGGCTTACCGCCGACCGGCACAAGCCAGCTCTCCCCAACCGCTCTAGGAGCGCTCCGGGATCCACCAGCTCGCATATCCGTACCATACGGGTACCGCTCCAAAGAGACTCCAGCCTCCCTTGCCAGAATACAAAACGTGTGCAAGTGCCCCATCAAACCACAAAAATAACAAAACTTATGTAACCGTTCATAGCGAAAAGTTACCCAAGCTGCCGATTTGTCCCTCTTCATTAACTTCATTCGCCTTCCGAGAGGCTTATCAACCGGGATCGAAACACGAATACGGTGAAACGTAAGCCATGGTGCCCCTTCAAAACAGTCATCATGCTTGACAAAGGTGCCCAGAAAGTTACCTGCCTGCTCAAGAATTGATTGAGATGTATAACCTTTCGGCATGTCATGCAGCTGTACCCACATGTCTATCGTATCAAGATGCACATCCCCCGGGACCGCTCCTGCCACAACCTCATGGCATATCAATGCGTTATTCTTAGAAGCCCATGGTCCACCATTCAGAACATAGTCCATATCCGTTTTTATGAAAAAACACAAACAAAAACAAACCCCTCTGAATTTCCGTAACCTGAACCCCTCGAACTGGTTGCCAAACAGATGTCAAGACCTGGTGCATGAATTCCAACTTGATCATCTTTTGCGTTAAGAATCACCCGACGACCCTCCAAGTCTCCTCGCCTACACCGTCGTCGACGTCTTCTCCTTCCGGCGTGAAGGCGGCAACTTCTTCTTCCTGCAACGCCCAGTCTGCCCAGCTCTCTGCCAACGCCTCAACCTCATTCGCTACTGGTTCGGAGGATGAAGCCATGTCGCTTGCGTACTGCCGTCGGTATACACTGAACTCCGGTCGTCGTCCAGATGGAATAGCCACAAAACTGTGCGAAAACCCTAGGAAACCCTAGTGGAGAGGCAAAAACCCTAAAGAGAATCTAGAGAGAGAATTAGAGAATTAAACATTCAACAATTTAAAAACAAGCATTCAAGGTAATTTCTTAACTAATATGACATCTCTCAATGTGCAATAGTCAAGAGTTAACTCCTTAACAAATAGTCAACTGCAATTGTGGGTGCTTTTAATTATGCCCTAATTAGTACTTTATTTTACTCTTATTAACTTAAACTAGTATTTTTTATGCGCGATGCGCAAAAAATAGGTGCCCAATATTAGTACTTTATAATAAAATTTTAAAATTATTTAGATTTTAGATATTTAAATTATTATAAATAATAATAATAATAATAATAATAATAATAATAATAATAATAATAATAATAATAATAATAACAATGTAAAATATTTTTATAAATTTGATATTTGTTTAGGAAATAACTAATATATAACCAATCACCTTGGGATGTGGACATTCGGCCATAAAATGTCCAGGCTTTCTACAATTGTAACACACATTTGTGTTATCTTCGACCGGTTCCCTTCTTGATCTTCTATTCTCTCGAAAAGAATTTCCTTGTGGTGATCCTTTGTTCTTTCGCATGAATTTCTTGAATTTCCTAACAAATAAGGAAAATTGTTCGTCAGATAAAAAATTATTATTTACGACTGACCTTGATGAGGAAGGTTGTTCGGCCATCAGTGCGGATGTTCGTTCATCACGTTCTTCTTCATTTCGTGTCTTCATCTCGAACTCATACGCCTTTAGATCACTAAAGAGTTTATCCGTAGATAATGTCCTTAGATCTCTATGATCGCGTATTGCGGTTACCTTCATATCTCAATTTGTAGGTAGTCCGCGTAACACTTTGAGCGATATTTCCTTCTGGGTAATGGTCTTTCCCAGATCCGTGATTTCTCCAAGTATTTTGATTAATCGAGCTTCCATGTCGGTGATGCTTTCGTTCGGTAGCATTTTGAAATCTTCGAACCTCTTCATGGCGATGGTTAGTTTGTTGTCTTTTTCTTGTTCGTCGCCTTCACCGATGCTTATGAGCGTATCCTATATTTCTTTTGTCGTGGTGCACTTTCGAATCTTTGGGAATATGGTGTCATCGACCGTTTTGAACAAAATGTCCTTGGCAATATTGTCCAAGTTATTTCGTCCTCTGTCTTCCTTTGTCAACTCCATTTTTGGCTTTGGAATATATCGTGGAGCATTTGGATCTCGTGGGGTAGCGGTATTAGCTTCAATAATTTGGATAGGACCATTTGTGATGACTTCCCACATTTCATCATTTAAAGCAGATAAGTGCACCTGCATACGTATTTTCCAATCATCAAATTTATCAAGTGAGAAAAACAAATTTTGAGCAAGAACCATATCTCTCTTCATCTTGAAGTTTTCGAGATCTGCCTAGCAGTCAAGAAATGACTCAAATAGACAACTGCTCTGATACTACTTGTTGGTCCCGAAAGGGTGGCGAGAAGTCTAGGGGGGGGGGTGAATAGACTTCTCTAACTTTTTCAAACTTCTTCTGCAAACAACACTTTGTAACTTCAACTCTAAGTAACAAGCATAAACAAGTATAACAACTTAGAGTGTGCACAGCGGAATTGTAACGGCAAAGTGTTATGCTTTAAATTGTGTCGTGCTCAAATAGAGATTTTATACATGCATCACGTTAGAAACACTTAGTATAGATGTAGGATGATGTATATAAAATTTCACTTGCATGCAAACGAGGGAACTATCAAACCCAGACAGATAAAGATACGCAATAAACCGTAACGGGTTATTTCACAGATAATATAGGCATGCACGAAATATATATGAGCAGTAAGTAAATAGAGAGAGAGAGAG